ACAAATTTGATTCATTTAAATGTGCTTTCTAGGTGAGAGAGAGAAAGTTGCAATTGCAGGGTACTTGCCCTGTAAACATAAGCTATCAAGTGATTTGGGATTTAAAAAAAAGGGGGGGTTGAGAGTCACTGAAAAGACAATTTTTAAAATAGAAAAATTCTCTGAAGATGCCCAGGCCAGCCCCCCATTCACTGTATGAACGCTGGCTCCAGCATCTGGTTGGATGCCTCCATCATTGGTGAGCGTGGCATTTTATACAGCACCAGTGTGGACATCCTGACTAGCAAGGATTTCCAAACAAAACAAAGAAATAAGAGAAACACTGGGATGCAGCATCTTTCTAACCGAGCTTGCACTTTTCTATAACATTGCATTATAAGGAACTTATAATGGCACCTACAGAAATCTAAAAATGGAGTCAGGAATCTACTGTGGCAGAGAATACCTTTGTCACCACATCACTTAGCCAGGTGCCACGTGCTGTATGATACATACAAGGAAAAGAGGCACTGGGTGATTTAGGTGACATCAGTCTTGGAACTTTGTAGCTACTCCTTCTGTAACTTCAGTTTTTGAACAGAAATCAACCAATGATGTACAGTTGTATATAGATGAAAATTGTTGGAGACTGTAGAAGTCTATAGAAAAAAAAAACCTCTTAAATGCAATCCATGAACAGAATGGATTACGAATCCTTCAGTATTCAGTGTTCATAGGTTTCTAGTAGAACTCAAGTGCAAGGGACTTCTTGATATATTGTCACTGGCTAGCTTCTCTGGTGGTTTTGTAGGGGTCAGCTTAGGTCGGCTGAAAACACATTCCCAGAATTCTCTTTCCTAAATGGTTCTTCATTACAGCTGGCTCCTAGGGAAATTTACATGAGGTTTGGAAGGTAGCAGGAAAACAGCAGTGCTATGCTCAGAAGGTCTGTGTGGCACAACAAGTTCTGCTCTCCGACCTCTGGTTCACCTGGTCTGTGACAGATATCAGCCAGGCTGCTGGACTATTGCCTCCCACCAGGTCTCTCCTTTGGCTTCTGGGCCAGGTGCGTGAACAGCTTTGCAGTGCAGAGTGCCAGATCCTACGGTGCTCTGGGTCACTGACTTTGGAGGAGGCATGACTCAAACACAGGTTCTGGTTTGTCGTTATGGGTTTCAGTTTGTCTTACAGGTTTGTTGGTCCTTGTTTGGCTCCCATTCAAATCCAGCTTTGATTTTCAACCAGCTCTACTAACTTATGATGACATCAGGGCCAAAAGTAAATGCAAAAGCAACCACAGAGCTCCCACAATTGTGTACGGTTTAGAACTTACAATAAATGCATTATTTCATATCACTATTTATATTCCCTGATAATGGCTTCCATCAAATCCTTCCTATTCGGAGTATACTTGATTACAAATATTCTTTTGTATATACCTTTTAAAAAGTTATGGTGATATGAAATGAAATGGTACTAATTTACTGAGCCTAAGTACATGATTTTATTTACCTTGTTTTTGAGATAGAGGCTTGAATATGCTCTTTTGCCTAATTCCCTTCAAAATCAATAGGCTGGGAATTGGGAGTTTGGTCTATGACCTGAGAAAAATACAAAACTCATTTGAACTGTTGTGCAATAATTAAAGTTAAAAATCACCTGAGCTCACTAGCTCTTTCTTGAAATAGTCTTAATGTTATGATACTTGGACAGTTGTGTTTACTTATAATAAAATTTAAACATTAAAAATTTGAAAGCAATTTCAACTGATCAACTTTTATTACAAGGTATTGCAGTGAGAGTAAATAAATATTGCTATTGAGAGATTCAAGTTCTTTGTTTAAATTCTTCATTTTTTACTTAATTTTCTAAGATTTTATGGTCCTTAAAGGCAGGGATACCTGTTTTATTTTTAATCTTTACATCCACCCATATTAGCACACACATAAGTCCGTACTGAGTATCAATTGAACTAAGTAAAAAAACAAATTTAGGCTTCCTGTTTTTTACAGAAAAGAAAAGAGCAGCAAAGAATGAGCAAACAACCACAACCAACTGCATCCTCTCATGCTGTTCTCACTATTATATAGAAACTCCAGCAGGAAACCACAGCTATATCCTTTTCACCAATTCAAAGCTCATGAATTGCTGGCAAGCATAAAACAGATATATTGACATTACATAGGTACTTGTGACAGTTTAACTTTCTATCCTTTAAAAACATTTAGCAACGTTTTTCAAAGACAAAAATTCCCCCCCCCAAATATAAAAATAATAGTAATACTTTCATCACTTGTTTTGGCATAAATTATATGAAAAAACAATAAGTACTAATGAAACTTGATTCCCCTTCTCAATGTAGCTGATTTTTAAAAAACCCCAAATACTGACAAGTGTTGAAATTCCTTATTTGACTCAGACTTGTAAAAAACTGCTAACTGATAAAAGACATATTACCCTCTATCCTCAAATCATGAAAATACTAATCTTTTCCCTTTTGCACTTAAAATGACCCAAGAATTAGATATTTCTATCTATGAAAAGTAGAAACCCCATTTGTCTTTTCTCATGTATAATCTCATTCAGAATGTGCAGCAACACATGTTTTAAATTTGTAATATGAACCTCAATAATGCTTTTTATCAATGAAGAGACTTTCTACTGAAGAACTCTTAACCATCCGGGAAGGACAAAGGAAAGATTATGGCAGAAGTCCAGGGCTTTCAAGGACTTTTGCTTCAATGTGAATAACAGACATGCATTCTCATTTAACAAAGGAAGAAGGGAAAGGCATAGAACTCTGTAGCTTTCCTGCACGCCCATGTTACTGAGTATGTAAACTTTCTGGACAATGATTGTTTAATAAATTCATTTGTGAATGAATTAAAACATACATGCTTGGCAGTGATGAGAGAGGGAGGTAAGAAAGGTGTAACTTGTAAAAAAAAAAAAAAAAGCTGAAGGTTTCTCAACTAGAAAATGTGCCCAAAATTAAGGGGTGTTAAGAGAGAGAGAGAGAGAGAGAGAGAGGGAGAGAGAGAGAGAGAGAAGAGGGAAGTCAGGAAGAAAGAAAAAAAGGGGGTGGGGGAGAAATGCAAGGTTATGGGGGGAAAAAGGAAGAGGCAATTAGAGCTAAATTGATTGTAGGAATTTTTGGCTTCACTGTCTCATCTGTAGAGAGAACCTGAAGTGCCTTCGGCAATGACCTGACTCTGTACCACTTTCATAGACTGTGACATCTGTTTACCACTTCCATGAGTTTTGCCTTCTGTGCTCCTTATCTAAACTATTTTTTTTACTTAATATTTTTCATCAAACTGACATTAACTGATGCCCCAGTTAAAAATACCCACCTAGTACTGAGAAATAATATCTATGAAATTATGGGGCTGTTGTGACAGTTGTATATGTTTTCATAGCACATATTTTTAAAAGTGTATTTTTACATTTACTCTCAGCATATTTCCATATTAAAATAAAGACATAAGCAATAAGTCAATCTGTGTACTACATAAGATCATGTCACAAGTCATTGTTGAAAATCTCCTGGCCTTTGAAAAGCAATGCCCTTCACTTTGGTACCTCTTGGAACAAAGAATTCGGATTTTGAAATGACACAGGGTAGCAAAGACATTCTAGAAAAATGACAAGGACCCAGTTAGTAAGACTAATGCCTAAGGATGACTTCTCTCCAATTTTTTTAACTAGAAAAAAAATCAATTTCTTATTAGAGAACTAAAAAGAAAAAAAAAGAAGCAGAAATTATGACTTTCAAAAATAGTGAATTATTATCTTCAAAACGGTCACAGATAGGTATATTTATCCTCCTATCAAGTACTATTCATACATTAGAACTATGGTTTTAAGATAAAATTTGTCTTAGATGGGTCTCCTGTGCCTTTTATTCTGTCTTCAATTTTCAACTAGAACACTTAGCTCTAAGCTATCAGAGGGAATTGCTTAACTTTCATAAGTAAATGAATGTCTATGATTAAAACATCAACCACGGAAACACTAGTTCTATAAATAGTTTCTGAGTACAAAGTCCATAGATAGAGTTAAACAAAAACACATGCCTGGTTTTATTGTGGATGTGTGTGTGCACGTGTACATCCACGTGTGTGTGTGTGTGTGTGTGTGCCCACTATGCATGATGCATGTGACTGTACAAAATCTACTTACTTTTTCTTTTGAGAAACAAAGAAATGTTGTTTGCTGAACACGTGTGTTACCTGGATATTTTGATAAAATTTATGTTTGTCAATTTTATTGCCTAAACAATGATTTATAGAGTTTTAAGTTAAAATGCTTGCCCTTGAACATGTCCTGTTTGTTTAAAAAATGTCCTATGACTGATTTAGAAGCTTTCACATTTGTTTTTAAAGCAACATGAAAACAGATCCAAGACAGAAGAGAGCAGTTCATAAAATCCTGCCTATGACTCTTGTTTTGACCAGTGTTATTATTATTATTTTTTTTAATCACTGCCACTCCACAGAATACTACATGTGGCATAGAAAAACTTGTGGCCTTTGCAGTTGGATGACTTGAAATTTACTCACAGCTCTGTCAACTACTTTCAGTGAGATCTTGGGAAAGTTATTTAATGCTTCCTCATTTCTAAAATTGGAATAGTACAAACCTTATAGATTTCTTTGAATAAAACATGGTAGTTTAGTGGAATGCCATGAGCAAGGGGGGCCTGAAGAACGAAGTTTTGAAAGAGTTCTACAGATCTGTAGTTCATCTGTCACCCACTGTTCTGGAAAGCAGGTGGATAAAGCCAAATGAGCTGTCTTATGTCCTATAACCAAAGCAGCAAAGTGCCCAAGCGATGCCCACTAGCCTCCTGCTCCCTCTTTATCCCTTTTACGCCTCCTTCACCATGTGTTTGGTTGTTTTTTCTCTACAATTGGGGGATCCTATCCCTTCTTATTTTTCCTGAGCCACTAACCTTCTGGGCTACAAGGCTAAGAGGTTCTCCTCCCAGTTGGGGTAAATATAGAGATGGAATCACTCACCAGGCATTCCGGAGGCATGAATTACTACATGAACTTCCAGGTCATGGCCCTGGAGAGAAGGACCACAAAAGAGTTATGAGCAACTCTTCAGGGAAAAAAGATAGCAAGAGAGACTGGGGCACTTCAAAACGCAGCCATGGAAACTGTTGGGTATTTTCAGCATCCTGGTCTGGTCCACCCGCCAATAATGAGGATTCAAGATCATCCCCCAAGGGTGGAGGTGATCCCTGAGAGTCCAAGCAAACATCTCAACCCGCAGCCCTTAAACAGTGTTGAAACACACTCATGTATCACAAATAATTTATGACAATGATAAAGAATCAGTGACAGCCAAACATTTCTTAAGGGAATAATTTAGAGTTTTCTCAAATGTCTGTTATCCTAACTTCCTAACATCATTATTTCTGTGATAATGTCACTCTCACTCATCTCACTCAGAGATGTTTTCTTGAACTGAGAAAAACTGGGGGATGAAGTTACACTGAGGTTCTAGCAAATTCATGAGGAAGGAATTTCATGTAAGTGGACGAGCTGCCGGTAGAAATGCCTGAGATTTCTTCATCATATACCTGCCTCGTCTTTGTCACTTCATCTGCTCTGTTTCTTACTTGTTTTTAGCAGAATGAAGCAAAAAAAAAAAAAAAACACGTGTGTTGGAGGATTTATTTTTTATAGCATTAAGAATAGGATGAGAAGGACTTCTAGTTTTCAGGGTGGCCTAGCTGGAAGAAAGAAACCCAGGTGTGGCGAGCAGGTGGTAAAGCTCAGGAGGAGGGGAAATGAAGCTGAATGACTGGGGCCTACAGGAAGGAAGCGAGCCCATGGGGGTGGGCAGTAGTGTCAGAGGAGGGACCCTTGATTGTCTACAGGGGAATTCCTTCAGATCCTCACCAGGAAAACTGCCCATTCTAACTTTGATGAGTCAGATTTATTAATAAGTTTATTCCGATAGCCTGGGAATTACTTAAGCATTCAGACTATGTTTTATTCAACTTTGAATCCCTAGCTCATGGCACAAGGTTTATTGAACATGTCCAGTGCTCAATACAGATTTACTAAATGATCCAAGGAATACGCCTTCCTTAAATCAGGGTCTCCTGCCAGCCACACTTCAAATTATATACATCATCTTCTAAATAAATTCCTATTTCTAGTTGGAGAAATGCTTCTCTAATTCTTAAAGCAGAAGGAACCCTCAAGCCAATCCAATTCAGGTCATTAAATCTGACCATCCCTGAGACTTAAGACTCCCAACTCAAAAGCCACAAACCCCAGAGGGATGATCTTTTAAAAAATTCCTTATTATAGTTTTGTAACATCAAAATAACCACCAGGGAAACGGAAGAATAGTTTCCTTATCAAAGTAGAGAAGTTTCAGTGTAAGTAAATTTGTGTTATTTAAAAATCATAAGTAAAACTAAGTTAAAAAAAAAGCAAGAAAGGAAATGACTTTATCCCTAAAGACCTTTAGCACCACGGTCCTTTATACATTATCAACACATTTTATATATTATCAACATTCATCATTTAACAAGGAAATGCCACTCTCCAAAGAAAGCACAGAGTTAAGGTAGCACTGTGTCCTCTGTTAGCTTCAATTGATACTATTCTCAGCGCTGTCTTCTCCAAGCGAAGCTGTTGAAGCACCCGCCACTTAAGGATTAATAATTAGATGAGAGGATGTTTTTAGAAGTAAAGTAGGAGGCACGATGTGCGGGTGGCATGCGGTGAAGCGTGCGCGGGGAAGGAAAGTGGCAGCAGAAGTTGAGAAAGAAGGAGAGATTTCAGAGAGCTCTCTCTACTGAAGACATGGGCTTGAGTTTTGCATCTCAGAAGGACATTTGTCTTCATTTGCAGCACAAATAAATCAACCCTGACACTGAAGTAGTCACTTCATTTTTAGCCATATTAAAAAAGCAGTTTTTCACAGTCCAGGGGCCAGACCCTGTAGTGATCTGACTACCTCCAAGAACGGCTGTGCATGCAGCGGGCTGCCATCACTGGATGAGCTTTTCACAGCTGTCCACACATAGCCACAAACTGAGATAGGAGTCGACAGTACTCCTGAAGATTTAGCTCAACTGCTACTCTTGCTGAATACAATGCAGTATTAATTGAAAGACTGGACTTTCAGGAGGCTATGCAAGTTGGGTATGTATGGAAAGAGCTGTATATAAAGATATGGTGCACTTAAAACTATGTAAAGCAATTCAATGTAAAATCTTACTCATGGGTCCTTAAGGTGAAGAAAAAAAATAAATCATTGTTAAAACAGTTAATATTTTTTACATTTGCCACATATCGGGCAGTAAAAAGTAAGCAAACAAACAAAAACTTCACTATTCTGCTGCTAACAGACCAGTTCAACTCAATTTGTAGTGATGGAACTTTCTACATATTTGACTGATGGAAACTTTTTAGGCAAAGTTATTATTTATGGGACTTAACTGTATTCAGTACAATTCTCTCTGCTTTGTAGGGAACACATCAATTTCATGAGTACAGCCATAGAATTTTAGAACTTGATGGTACTTACAGAACACCTAGTCCAGAATTCACAAGCTCAATACCTATGGGTTCTAGCTATGTAACAGTATTTTTGAAGACACAGAGTACAAGGGACCCACGCAAAGCCTCAAGGTCAAAGAGACCACAGGGAGAAATAGGGTCAGCAGTGAAGCTACTGTGTAGCACTTAACTGTGGTTCCATTCCATCCTAGAGAATGTGGGCCAGGGTTTCATTGTACAACAGATTTTCTGATTTTTAAATATTGGCTTAATTGCACATAAATTCCTGCAGGCCAAGGTTTTCTTGTTGGGCCCACAGATTGCCAGTTTTCGGTTTCTGAGCTGGTATATACATTCCCAAACCTGAAATCCTGGCAGATTAAACCAAGGGTACCAAGTCTCTCAGATGCTTGTGGCAAAGATCTGTTCTGTTCTGAGAATTCCCATGTGTAGACAGGAAATGGTTCCCCATGTGAAAGGGGATTATAAAGTCACCCCCCGCCCCCGGCCCTTAATCACAGCTCAGCCCCTGACCCTGACATTGACAGATTTCTGCTCTCTGACTGCTTTCAGAACATGTTCGACATGAAAACAAGAACAATTCTTCACACCCATTTGTAATAAGAAATTTTTACTCATCCAAGGATGCAGGTGAAAATGTGTTCTCATTTACTAGCTTTACCTCTGATTAAAGTTCTTATTAGCAATCAAAATTCTAGTTGCTCCATTTTGGCCTGCATTTTTCAAGCAGAAATAGTTTATAGAATAATCCAAGGAAAGCCATGCTTAAAGAACAATGCAACTAAGTGTAAATAAAAAATTCATGCTATGTATGAAACAGTTTTATATATGGGTCCTAGGAATCATGGAGGGTTTGCTGAAATAATGGAGTTTTAATACATGTTTGAGTAGATTGAGAAATTAATTTAGAAGGAAGAAATGAGAACTTTAAAATGACATAATGGCAAACTTAAAAGTGGAACCTACATTGAACCAAATACATTTTGCATTTTAAAATAGTTTTAAAAAGTCTATCATGGGAAAGCACATTATAACATGGAATAAAAATGAAAAAAATAAACCTATATTATATTTCATATCCCTGTCCTACAGAGCCATAATTCAGAGTAAAAACCCAGAGGCAATGCAAAATTCTGAATCTTAATAATATTTGACATCTTAGACTTACTAAGACAGACATACAGGCACAGGCTATTACATTTTAGGAAAAACTTCAACTCAGGAAATGTAGTTAACACAAACACTTTACTCCCTCAAGGGTTTCATTTAACTAAAGTTGTACATTATAAAGACAGAGAAGAGTCTCCCATTGACAAAATATGGTTATTTTAATTTTGGCCTATTTAGAAATCAATATCCCTGAAAAACAATCAAGAATCTAACAGCATAAAGTATGTGATTATTCCCCATAAACTATATCTTCCACTTTGATGCGCTATTTGTAACTCATGGTTAAAAAAGGATTTTTCCGAAACTCTTTTTTCTCTACAAAATTACTAGATGCAAATGTGATTTTTTTAAGGAGCCTTGGAGATCTCTGTCCAGCTGTCTGTTACTGAATTAGTAACATAGCTGAGGTCCCTGGAGATGCCTGTGACTTGGTAGGTTTTTATTCTCCAGGTTTTGGGTCCCCCCATTCCCCAGGGGTTTTAATTGTGCAAGAGTTACAGATTGTATATCTTAATTAATCCAATCTTCTTGTCAGATGCTCAGGTATCCATTCTGTTTAGAATCCAAGACTCAGAAATTTTAAGTAGAATCAGTGTGTATGTATAAGAACCTGTCTTGCTTCAGATCACCCAGCTGATTCCTGCAATGTTTCTGCCACATCAGACCCTTGAGACAGAGATGGAGATGACTGCACTGTCATTTGGAAGAATATACCACACTGACTCTCAATTTGGAGGAAGGATGCATAAGTTACTTGATTCTCCTTCCATCCCCACGGAGGTTCTCTGAGGTCTTGTTCCTGTTCTCATTATCTGAGAAACAGTGAAGAATTAGCAAGAGGAATTCTGGATTTTAGCACCTGCTGCAACAGTGACTTAGAATAAGTTATTAAGTTCCCAGGAATTCATCTGAAACCATTTTATTTCCCTGTAAATAAAGGCATGGACTTCAAGATAGTGTACACATCTGGCTGTCAGAATCCTTTTGGGACCTCTAAAAATACAGATTTCTAAACTTCCCTCCAGATTTGGATTTGGATTTGAATTCAAGAGGTCAATTGCATTTAACCTATGGCCAAGGATCAGTTATTAGTGCCTGCTAGTAATAATTTGGACCCCCTATTTTGCTGCTAACTTTAAAATAAAGGCAACAATCAAATTACAGGCATGAAAAATTAGAAAGCTGTTACTGTGCTGCCAACTCCAATATGCCCAGTTAAAAAGCTGTGAATAATTTTCTCTCTGGCAGTCAAGACAGTAAGTAATTTAAACTGTAAGAAACACGTGTGCGCACACACAGACACACACACACATACACATACACACGTCTTTCCAATTCAAATGCAACCTT